CATCACCATCATGGTGTTTGTCATTCGTCGTCGCGGCATGATATCTTTGTCGTCGCCCTACTTTACTTTGAGTGATCCCCGCCCTGAAAGGCGATTTGGGGGAAGGCAGGGCACATGTATTGACAGACTAAGGCGGGCACGCGGATTGATACAATGTTCTGACGCCTGTTCTGGCATCAAGTCTGGTGTGCTCTGCCACATCATCTGTCATAGAAGTTGGTAAGTGTTCTGGATTGTGTTCTGACGTCCATGTTGGCGTGCGTGCTAGCATTTTTTCTGTGCCCGCTTGCCGTGCAGGTCCGGGAGTGCCCATTGCGATCTGGAGCTTACGCCCACTGCCACCTCGACTTTGCTGCTGAGGTCCGGCAGTGCCCCCTGCGATCTGGAGCTTCTCCAGCTTGTTTTTGAGGCCCAGGTGTGCCCACTGTGATCTGGTGCTTGCTGTTGACTCCTGGGAGTGCCCATTGCAATCTGGAGCTTGCTGTTATGGCCTGGGAGTGCCCACTGCGATCTGGAGCTTGCTGTTGAGCGCTTGCTGTTGAGGTCCAGTAGTGCCCACGATCTTGGATCTTGCTGTTGGAGACGGGAGGCGGGATCCTCCTCTACAAACTAACAGCCCTCACCTATATAAAACAGGCTCTGTGTTTCTGAGCCATTAAGCTGGGGCTCCTGGCGTCGTGGCAGGCCCAGTGTGCGGGTCTCGAGGACCCGCACAGTGGTGCCAAGGTATACTACCCTGGCAGCTCTTGGCCTGACAAAGGTTGACCAAACTTGCCCTCTATTCTCGGGTCCCAATTTTTCAACGATGGCCACGTGACCCGCTGCACGTGCGCCACGCGCAGGAGAAAGTCCTCTTCACCGGCGGCCATTGCGGCTGTTTGGTCACCACGGGGATCCTGACCCTGAAAGCTGGTGTTGTGTCCAGTATAACCTGTGATAGATGTCTTCTTGAGCCTGATCGTTTTTGGCGCCAGCATTTGGGGAATTCCTGTTGCCGCCTGCCTCACCCCATCAGGCTAGCTTTACCAAAGGGACTGAGCATTTCGCATTGGTTTTAATCTGTGAATGAAACCTCAGCCCCCGCATTGTGGACCGGTCGAGGGTCAACAGCTGACTCAGGAACATTTTGTTACAGTATCTTCGAAGTGTTCACTACAAAATCAAGCACCTTAGCCTTCTCACAGGCGAATGTTTGGTGAAACCGCATCTGGAGGCTTTGTGACTCAGCCGATCAAGAACATCGGTGCGAAGGTGGGCTCCCAAATAAACAAAGTTACCACAAAAGCAGGAGGAGGGCGTGTTTGGGGACCCTATGATAGGGTCCTAATACGACCATTCGACCTGTCAAAAACGACTTTGGTGCTTTCTTCAAGCCGCCCTACATCCTGTCCTACGACCAAACACATCAACTCCAAGTGGTTGATCATTGAATTGAACCACCAATTTCCTGAAGACGCTGTGACTTCGACTAAACTGTGACTTCAACTCTCTGTGCCCTTCGAACTGTTGAGACCACAGCACGCCGAGATTGAGATCCCCGGCATGATGGATGGCATGGTGGCCTGCGGTGTCCGTGCAAGGTGACAGACTCTTCTCTCCTACAACCCAGAATGACTGCTGGAAGCAGCTTCTCAGCCTGGTCCCCGGCGGAAAAAACAAAAAACGAGCTTGCAGTCTCGTGCAGTGACACCATCCACCAGTTGGACTCACGCACTCGTCCTGATGCGTGAAACCGGCCATGGTTCCCGGGCCACAAAGGCTGCGGTTCCGACCAATTGGAACAGCCAACAACCCGGAGGATTGGTCCAACCTGCTCGACCTGCTCGACCTGCTCGACCGACCTCCACTCTTCCTCTTCCTCGGCTCCTTTTTTCCCAACACAAAGGACTCCAAGGACTCGGACCAAGCCGCGTCGCAGATGGATTTCCCCATTGCGACGCAACAGGTGCGGAGGGCCCGGAGGCGGAAGACCTAACTCATAACCAGGCTATCCTCAGGGTACGTCACCTGTCTGTCTTCACATGTTGTATTGAATTCAATCAAAATGAAAAGTCGTGTCTGTCTCCGCTGGCCGAAACCTCCTCCCCCCCCAAAAAAAAGAACTCGGTTCACAGCCGAATAACTCCCCCCATCCTTCGCTTGGCGAGAGACGAGGGTGGAGAGTAGGGGGGGGGTGCCTCTCCTTCCGCTCCTTCCGTTCCAGGACCTCCGTGGGGGTACCTCTCGCGGCGCGGAAGCGCGCGCGGCCAGGCGCCAGCCGTCCCCCTTCAGCGGCCCTTGGAGGTCTTCAACGTCTTCTGCAGCTCCGAAGCACTCCGTGAGATCCACGTGGAGGAGATGGGATACCTGGCGGGTCGCGGTCTCGGGTGGAGAGCCGAGGACGGCGGCGGGAGTGGAGCGGGACATGGAGATCACACACGACCAAAAGTGCCGGAATCGGAATCAAGAAGTGGGGAATGAATTTGGTGACTTCAACAAGGATTGAGTGGAAAAAACCGAACTTCAGACAACATCCGAAGTTCGAGAGTCGCGCGCGTCGATCGTCCGACGGTCCGACGGACAAAGCTCCTCGAGTTGCACAGAAAAATTGACCAGAGGACGGAGAAGACCAGTATCGGCAAAATGTGCCAACACCACCTAATAGCCTATATATATATATACGGAAGATGTTCTTTTTTGGTTGAGATCATTGAACATGACGCAGCGAACGTCTCCAGGACAAGTTTATGTCAACTCCAACTCTCCAGGTGTCTCGACCCAGTGAAAGAATAAAGAAGTCTGCTGAAAGAGTAGGCTCTTTTGCTGATCTAAAAGATCAGGAACCCACCGGTCAAAGCGTGACTGTTTGTTCATTCACACCAGGTGGTTTGTGGATCAACGAAAAGGGCGGTGGAAAATTGAAAGTTTGGCTAAACGCAGCTTGTTCTGCGATAAACACTCGATGCAAAGTGAACCATTGGTCGTGGAGTCATGGATGTTAAGCCCACGTTGTCTGACCCATCCTCCTGTCCTTGCCGGCCTTGGTGGCCGGATGTCTGCTGGGTAGAAGCCGTAGTCGTAGGAGGTAATCGGGGGTCCCTGCCAAAGAACAACAACAGATTGGTTCGAAACACAAGTGCGGCTGGGGAGGATTTCCCTATTTCCCTGAAGCCAACCCTTCCACATAACAAGTAGCAAAGAGGCGCATCCAATGAACCTTCAAAATGACCGATGTGAGCTGGTCCACCAAAACTTTGAGGTGTTAGTGAGTCAAATTGTTGTCCAGGATGTAGGCCAGGATGTATGTGTTTATATATCGAAGGAAGAACCCGTGTGCATAGAAACAGTCTGAGAAACCTTGACTCGGAAAAATGTTATATAGATGAAACTGACCTTGCGCCGTTTTCGCTCTGAAACGCTCCCAAAAAAATGACCCAAGCAGAAGTCGTTCTGAGATTTGAAGGAGTTCAAAAAAAGATTGCGGAGGTTGTGGCACACCATATCTCATTGCATTTCTCCCCACAAGCTGGGTATGTGCACGAATCCCATGGTTTGTTGGGGGCATCCTCTCAAAAACAATGCTTGGAATCAGACTTTAAAGGTAAGTTTGTCAACCACTTGTGACATCTTCATGTGCAATCGAGTGGATCGATTCTGACTGTGGTTCGTATTCATCCCACATTTTGATAGCACTAACACGCATTGGTTTGCATGTAAGGCAAAGATTGCACATTGCGTGACACAAGCAACATCAAACATGCAAACATTGTCTTGGTTTTCGAAGAAGGCTTTTGAATTCCAACATAACTTGGATAAAACTTGTTGTCATTTCTTACTCTACAACCAAATGCGCGGCTGCCTGTACACTGTATGCTTGCAGCGCAAGCACCTTTCGTGTGCATGGGTGGTGCTTTGCCTTGCGAACAAAAAGTACAATTAAGGATGTTGAAGATTCATCCATGCAAAAAATCTGCAGTTCCCCGTTTTATGATGTGTGCGCAGCCGACTCAAAGTGGAGGGAACGAACTTCAAATGTTCACTCAAAGCTTCCCACCTATCATCTGGTACCCCAGTGCAACCAAGGCTGGGATGCCCTGACTTGCGCATTTATAAATTTTCCAAGCGATACTCAGCGGCCTTACTTCTACGTAAAAGTTTCGCCTGCATAGACCCAAAATAGCCAAGCTATTTGCGGGTAGCAGCAGCATGCTGCAGCGGCACAACCACCCAACTTTCAAGAACACATCTCGCAGGAGCGCCTTGAGCGGCAACCTGCAATGGCACCAGCACCCAAGCACGAAAGCGCACGCAGGCACGCACGGCCACACATGTGGCAGCGGCACGCTGCAGCAGCACCATCACCCAAGCTCCATAGCGCACGCGGCCACACTACAGCGGCACCCTGCAGCAGGACCATCACCCAAGCTCCGAAAGCGTACGCGGCCACACATCTAGCAGCAGCACTCTGCAACGGCACCAGCACCCAAGCTCCATAGCGCACGCGGCCACACTACAGCAACGCCCTGCAGCAGGACCATTCACGCAGGCTCTAAGCACATCCAAGGTCCGAACCGAAACGAGCCCTGATGCGGCACCGCGCACACGGCCACACATCTGCCAGCAGCACCCTGCAGCCGCACCGGCACCGTTCTGCTTTAGTCGCGACGCGGGATTAAGCAGATTCGACCCCACCTTGCGCCCTTCTAAAAGTGAATAGGTTTCTGACTAGCAGGGTTTGAGTGGCCCAATGTTTCGGGTCCTGCGATTGAGCAGTGGTGTGAAGGACTTCCCAAACGCAAGGCAGACTTCTGTAGTAGTTCTGTAAGTGGTTCTTACAGACCTTGCTGTTGGTGTCAGCGAACCTGTCTGGTATTTTGGAACGAGCCCCTAACTCTGCAGGAATTGGACGTAGGCTCAGCTCGCATGGGGCATCAGTTTCTGCATAAGCGGAAGACTGACAAGGGGTAACAAGAGATACAGGTAGCGAGTGTGTAGGGTAAAACGCTCACGCATGTCATCCCTGCCGTCATCCCTGGCATGACACGATGTCACCCCTGCAAAGACATGATGTCATCCCTGTCACGTGATGATCTCTGGCATGACATAATGTCATCCCTGGCGCGACATGCCTGGCAAGGCATGAATGATGTCATCCCTGGCATGGCACGATGTCATCCCTGCATGACATGATGTCATCCCTGCCTTGACGTGACGTCATCCCTGGCATGACTGATGTCATCCTCGGGTGACATGATGTCATCCCTGGCATGAGATGATGTCATCCCTGCCATGACATGCTGATGTCAACCCTGGCGTGACATGATGTCACCCCTACCTAGCATGTCATGATGTCATCCCTAGGATGACATGATGTCAACCCTGGCATGACACGATGTCCCTGCGCCAGTACGGCAGCGGCACCCAAAAAACCAAAGCGCCAATCCAGACCCAGCACCTGCACCAGTACGGCAGCACCGCCCGCAAAACGAAAACGCCGATCCAAAGCCAGCGCTGGCACCAGCACGGCAGCAGCACCCGCAAGACAAAACCGCCGATCCAGAGCCAGCACCTGCGCCAGCACCAGTACGGCAGCTGCACCCACAAAACGAAAACGCCGATCCAAAGCCAGCACCAGCACCAGCATGGCCGCAGCACCCGCAAAACGAAAAGGCCGATCCAGAGCCAGCACCAGCACCAGTACGGCACCAGCACGGCAGCAGCACCCGCAAAACGAAAACGCCGATCCAAAGCCAGCGCCTGCACCAGCACCAGTACAGCAGCAGCGCCCGCATAACAACGCCGATCCAGAGCCAGACCATTGAGAAGAAAGAAACCCAACAAAACTTGCAACCGTGGTCTGTAGACATTGCGGCGCCGGCAGCTCCCGGCTGCTGGCCCCAGATGAGGGCTTGGAGATTCAATCACAAAGCCATGCAAAAAGATCCAATGTCGGGTGGCAACCTCTAGCGCTGATCAATCCTGACAAACGACTGGGAACTTCACACCACACTAATCCACGCCCCCACTCTCTGTTCAGCCGATACTTTTGAGCCAAGTTCCTCTCCACGCCATCATCACTCCTGTCAAGCAAGAGGAGGTGAATCGGAAGCCCGGCAATTTGGAAGTATCAAACGACTCACCGTGATTGCTTCCAGCCGCGGCCTGTAGACAGTCCGGGCTGATGCCGCTGGCGGTTCCCCAGTCGCTGGCACTCCGGACCTGGGCCCCTTACAGCGTGGCAGGCCCAGTGTTTGGGCCTGTAGCACCCGCACGGTGGTGCCAATATAGACCACCCGTGCGCGGCGTGGCCTCCAAGGCGGACCCCAGCGAACTCTTCAGGGTATTGTGTCATACTATATTGCCGGACGGAAAGTTAGACCGCTGATCCACAAATTTGAGAGGGTGAACAAAAACGCCACCCACATCAAATTTGCACTCCATTCTATCTGTGAAGTTCTTGTGAACGCAATCTTGTTGTGTCTTTATGGGTAAGATTTTGGAGCTTTTGGCGCTGCCCGGATCCTGGATTGACAAAGCACGCAGTATAGACTGACCAGTGACCACTTACAGCTGTGTAAATATGTATCTCTTTGTTCGCTCAACTGCACCTGCCACACCTACTACCACTGACAGGCCGCACCTGCCACGACCCGCTACCCGTAGTGCATTTGTACTACCCAGTGGCCCTGCTTCCCGCATTCCTTGTCTACCAGAAGCTGCCATCTGCATTTGTACCCAGTGGCCAGTTTTGAGGCCACAGCTAAATTTGCCATTTCTGACGGCTTCTTCCCGCATTACATGTGTGCTACAAGTTGCCACTTCTAAAACGCCCCTCACTCTTCTATATAACACTCTTGCGCGCCACTCTTGTGGGACACTCTCGTGGGACACTCTTGTCGGACACTCCTGTCGGACATTCTTGTAGGACACTGTTGCCAGTAGTGTAGGACACTTCTATAAAACACTCGGACATGTTGCGGGAAACCCTTGTAAGAACCTCTTGTGGGACACTCTTGTAGGACAATCTTGTCGGCCACTCTTGCCGGAAATTCTTGTGGAAAAGTCTTGTGGGGCACTCCTGTAGGACACACTCTTGTGGGACACTCTTGATCCACACTCTTACGAGACACCCTTGTAGGACACTCTGGCGGGAAACTGCACCGGCACCAGGTACCAGCACCAGCACCAGCACCGGCACCCAGCACCAGCAACCTGTCTCGAAAGCGCGCACGGGCAACTCACTATTATTTGAAGTAAGAACCCCATAGCTTCGCTATCTGGGGAAAAACAAAGGATCACAATTGTCCTTTTCAAAGCCAAGCGGATCCGGGGCCCCCCCCCCTCTCTTCCTCTTCCTCTTCCTCTTCCTCTTCCTCTTCCTCTTCCTCTTCCTCTTCCTCTTCTTCTTCTTCTTCTTCTTCTCCTTCTCCTTCTCCTTCTCCTTCTTCTTCTTCTTCTTCTTTCTTCTTGTGCTTCTGCTTCTCCTTCTGCTTCTGTTTCTTCTTCTTCTTCGTCTTCATATTCGTCTTTGTCTGTATCTTCTTCTCCTCCTCCTTCTTCTTCTCCATTGTCATATGTTTCTTCTTCGTCTTTTTTTTTCTTCTTCCTCTTCCTCTTCCTCTTTTTCCTTCTTCTGCTTCTTCTTATATTGTTATTGTCCTTTATTCTTATGCTTATTCTTCCTCTTTTCTTCTGCCTCTTCCTCTTCCTCTTCCTCTTCCTCCTCCTCTTCTTCTTCAACATCAAGACGTGGGAGCCCTGGCCAGCAACAATGCACAAAAAGTCGCACAAAACCGGCGTAGATTAAGAAGCCACATTCTGATGCAGGACCACTGCACTCGGCTCGTGGCCGTCCTGGTCGCCGCCTTCGTCGCCCGCGCGCACTGCTGCCAGCAGCACAAAAAGAACCAAGAACACTACTACTTCTACTACTACTACTACTACTACTACTACTACTACTACTACTATACTACTACTACGACGACGAC